GCTGACAGCTCAGAGCCTGGATCCTGCTTCAGATTCTGTGTCTCCCTCTCTCTCTGCCACTCCCCCACTCATACTCTGTCTCTCTCTGTCTCTCAAAAATGAATAAACATTAAAAAACTTTAAAAAAATAGTAATTAGTGCACAAATTTTTGCATGGAAGTGTGTTTTCAATTCTCTTGGATATATATTTAGCTATGGAAATTCTGGGTCCTATGGTAACTCTATGTTTAACTTTTTTTTTTTTAATTGTCAAGTTAGCTAACATGCAGAGTAGTCTTGGCTTCAGGGGTGGATTCCCATGATTCATCACTTACATAAACACCCACTGCTCATCTCAACAAGTGCCCTCCTCAATGCCCATCATCCATTTTCCCCATCTCCCAAGCTCCCCACCCCCATCAACCCTCAGTTTGTTCTCTATATTTAAGAGTCTCTTATGGTTTGCCTCCCTCTCTGTTTTTATCTTATTTTTCCTTCCCTTCCCCTATGGTCATCTGTTAAGCTTCTCAAACTCCACATACAAGTGAAATCATTTGATATCTGTCCATCTCTGACTGACACATTTCACTTAGCATAATACACTCCAGTTCCATCCACACTGTTGTTGCAAATAGCAAGATTTCATTCTTTTTCATCACCAAGTAGTATTCCATTGTGTGTGTGTGTGTGTGTGTGTGTGTGTGTGTGTGTGTGTGTGTATACACCACATCTTCTTTATCTATTCATCAGTTGATACATATTTGGGCTCTTTCCATAAGTGGGCTATTGTTGATAGTGCTGTTATAAACATTGGGGTGCTTGTGCCCCTATGAATCAGGACTACTGTAACCTTTGGATAAATTCCTGGTAGTGCTATTGCTGGGTCATAGGTTAATTCTGTTTTTAAGTATTTGAAGAACCTCCACACTGTTTTCCAGAGTGGCTGCACCAGTTTGCATTCCCACCAACAGTGCAAGAGAGTTCACCTTTCTCCACATCCTTGCCAACAGTGTTGTTTCCTGAGTTGTTAATTTTAGGCACTCTGACTGGTGTGAGGTGGTATCTCATTGTGGTTTTGATTTGTATTTCCCTGATGATGAGCAATGTTGAGCATCTTTTCATGTGTCTATTTGCCATCTGGATGTCTTCTTTGCAAAAATGTCTGTTCATGTCTTCTGCCCATTTCTTCACTAGATTATTTTTTTCAGGTGTTGAGTTTGGTAAGTTCTTTATAGATTTTTGATACTAGCCCTTTATCCAAAATGTCATTTGAAAATATCTTCTCCCATTTCATTGGTTGCCTTTTCATTTTGTTGATTGTTTCCTTTGCTGTGCAGAAGCTTTTTATCTTGATGAGGTCCCAATAGTTCATTTATGCTTTTATTTTCCTTGCCTTCAGAGACATGTCAATTAAGAAGTTGCTGTAGCAGAGTTCAAAGAGGTTGTTGCCTGTTTTCTCTTCTAGGATTTTGATGGTTTCCTGTCACACATTCATCCATTTTGAGATTATTTTTGTGTATGGTGTAAGAAAGTGGTCTAGTTTCATTCTTCCACGTGTCAATGTCCAGTTATCCCAGCACTGCTTGCTAAAGAGACTGTCTCCTTTCCATTGGATATTCTTTCCCGCTTTGTTGAATATTAGTTGGCCATATATTTGTGGATCCATTTCCGGTGTCTCTACTCTATTCCAGTGGTCAAATGCCTGTTTTTGTGCCAATACCATGCAGTCTTAATTACAGCTCTGTAATACAGGCTAAAGATTGGGATTGTGATACCTCCAGTTTTGGTTTTCTTTTTCAATGTTACTTTGGCTAGTTGGGGTCTTTTTGGTTCCATACAAATTTTAGAATTGTTTGTTCTGTGAAGAAAGCTGGTGTTATTTTAATAGGGATCACATTGAATATATAGATTGCTTTGGGTAGTATCAACATTTTAACAATATTTGTTCTTCCTATCCATGAGCATGGAATGTTTTTCCATTTCTTTGTGTCTTCTTCAATTTCTTTCATAAGCTTCGTATAGTTTTCAGCATACAGATCTTTTACCTCTTTCATTAGGTTTATTCCTAGGTATCTTATGGTTGTTGGTGCAATTGTAAATGGGATCGATCCCTTAATATCTCTTTCTATTGCTTCATTATTGGTGTATAGAAATGCAACTGATTTCTGTACATTGATTCTATATCCTGCGACTTGGCTGAATTCATGTATCAGTTCTAGCAGTTTTTTGGTGGCATCTTTCAGGTTTTCCACGTAGAGTATCATGTCATCTGTGAAAAGTGAAAGTTTGACTTCTTCCTTGCCAATTTGGATGCCTTTTGTTTCAATTTGTTGTCTGATTCCTGAGGCTAGCACTTCAAACACTGTTAAACAACAGTGATGAAAGTAGACATCCCTGTCATGTTCCAGATCTCAGGGGGAAAGCTCTCATATTTTCCCCATTGAGGCTGATATTAGCTGTGGGCCTTTCATATATGGCTTTTATGATGTTAGGTATGTTCCTTCTATCCTGACTTTCCTGAGGGTTTTTATTAAGAAAGGAAGTTGCATTTTGTCAAATGCTTTTTCTGCTTCTATTGACAGGATCATATGTTTCTTATCCTTTCTTCTATTAATGTGATGTATCACGTTGATTGATTTGCAAATATTGAACCAGGCCTGCAGCCCAGGAATGAATCCCACTTGATCATGGTGAATAATTCTTTTAATATACTGCTGAATTCAATTTGCTAGTATCTTGTTGAGAATTTTTGCATCCATGCTCATCAGGGATATTGGCCTATAATTCTCCTTTTTAGTGGGGTCTTTGTCTGGTTTGGGAATCCATGTAATGCTGGCTCCAGAGAATGAGTCTGGAAGCTTTCCTGTCATTTCTAATTTTGTATTTCTTTGTATTTTGCCAGTTTCACTACGGTATGTCATGGTGTTGGCCTGTTTTTGTGGGTTTTGAAGAGAGTTCTCTGTGCCTATTGGACTTGGATGGCTGTTTCCTTCCCCAGATTAGGGAAGTTCTCAGCTATAATCTGTTCAGATAAACCTTCTTCCCCTTTCTCTCTTCTTCTTCTTCTGAAACTCCTATGATATGGATATTGCTTCATTTCATTGAATCACTTAGGTGTCTAATTCTCCATTCATGGTCTAGTAATTGTGTTTCCCTCTTTTTCTCAGCTTCACCATTTTCCATAATTTTATCTTCTGTTTCACCTATCCTCTCCTCTGCTTCTCCAATCCTTGCTGTCACTGAATCTAGTTTATTCTGTGTCTCATTTACAACATTTCTTCATTCATTATGACTATTTCTTAGGTCTTTGATCTGGGCAGTAATAGATTCTCTGTTGTCTTCTATGCTTTTTTCAGGCCCAGTTATTAGATATGGGTGTTATTCTAAAATCTTGTGCAGAGGCACCTCGCTGGCTCAGTTGGTTAAGTACCTGACTTTGGCTCAGGTCATGATCTCACAGTTCATGAGTTTGAGTTCCACATTGGGCCTTGTGCTGACAGCTTAGAGCCTGGAGCCTGTTTCAGATTCTGTGTCTCCCTCTGTCTCTCTCTCTGCTCTCTCTCTCTCTCTCTCTCTCAAAAGTAAACAAACATTTAAAAAAAAACTAAATTCTTGTTCAGATATATTGTTTATATCTATTTTGAGCAATTCTCTGGCTGTCATTTCTTCCTGGAATTTCTTTTGAGGAGAATTCTTCCATTTCGTCATTTTGACTAGGTTTCTGCCTTTTATATGTTGTTGCTGATGTTTCTTTCATTATTTATTTTTTGAGAAAGAGAGATCAGAGTGTGAGCAGAGGGGGGAGGGGCAGAGAGAAGGAGAGACACAGAATCCGAAGCAGGCTCCAGCCTCCTCACTGTCATCACAGAGCCCGATGCGGGGATGGAACTCATGATCCATGAGATCATGACCTGAGCTGAAGTCAGATGCTTAACTGACTGAGCCACCCAGGCGCCCCTTTTACGTGTTTTAATAGCTTGTTATGTGTCCTGCACCTGTGAGCACCACTATATTAAAAAGTGGTCACACACTGTCCAGGGCCTGGCCCTTCAGGAGGGGTTTTTGGAGTGTGCTGCATGCCCTCTGTTGTTGCGTATTTGGCTGTGCTATCCCACTGCTTGTAGTGGTGGACTGTTTGGACTGTCCAGCAGGTATGCTTTGATTTGTTCATTAAAGTAACCCTGGAAAAAAGGAAAAGGAGGGGGGGCCTTATCTCATACAAAGAGAAAAATGAAAGAGGTGAAAAAAAAAAAAAGGACTAGGCAGAGAATCAAAGAAAGTATAAGGGCTTAATCCAGAGAGAGAGAGTAAAATAAAGAAGAAGGGGATACAGAAAAGGCATCAAAAGAATAAAGATGCCTGATTAAACAAACAACCAGAGCAGAGAGAGACAGACAGAAAGAAAGAAAGAAAGAAAGAAAGAAAGAAAGAAAGAAAGAAAGAAGTAAATATATATATAAAACATATCAATTATATAAATTTATATAAATATATATAAATATATAATATATATATTTATAACTGACTAAAAATCAAATCAAAAATTATGAGCCTCATTCCAAAGGGAAGGAAAAAAAAAGAGGAGGGTAGAAAGAAAAAGAAGGGAGAAGGAAAGAAAAGCGAAAATAATAGTAATAATAAAATTATTAAAAAGAGACTAACATACTAAACCTGTGGACAGTCATCTGTTGGTGCCTGGGACCAGGGGCTGCACACGTCTGGAAGAGAGGCTGTCCCGTTAGATCAGTGTCAGTCCCAGTCCAGGAGATAAGCAGCTACCAGGCACGGAGAGGCAGGGATGGTGTAAGCGGGTCCCACCTCCTCTGGGCGCCGCTGTCCGTTCCCTGAAGCCACACCCTGTTGGTGATGGGGAGAAAGGCGGCCACACCCCAATCTCTCCTCCCCGGACCACGCGTCTCACACCACACTCTCGAGGCAGCCCTCACAGAGTGGCACCGGCAGGTGGCTTGTCCTGCGGCACCGTCCCCTGCGCCTCCTCGCCTCCTCGGCCCTCAGCTGGGATTCAGAGCCTGATGTCTTAAAGGATCCCACACCACATGGACCAGGTTCCGGGGTAGTGCCACTCTGCCCTGCCCATACGGCTGGTGCCGCCCGCAGGGTCTTTCGTCCTTGTTGGGGGCAATATACCCTCTTCCCACAGTACTGAAGGCAGGAGACCGTTTGCTCACAGTGCACCCCTGAGATGGCTACCATACCCCAGGGCTGGCTCCCCACCTCCAGGCCAGGCAGAAGCCTCGGTCAGGAGAAAAGTCCCGCACTTTTGAGAACTCCAGCCTTCAGCTCCTAAGGCCGTTCACAAAGTAGAAACTGGCACACTCTGTATTTCTCATTCCCCTGTCCAGGGTCCGGACAGGTTTTTCTCTTGTATGAACAATACTGCAATCCACAGCTTCTCTTTCTCTCCCTTTTGTCTCTGGCAGAAGGGGTTCCCTCCCCTCCGTGCCCACACTGTTTGGTCTCCCCCAATTTGCATACACGCACCTCAGTCCCTCCAAGCTGTCTCCCTCCACCTGTAGACATTTTTCCGTCACTCTGCAGACCGACTTTGTGTTGTGGGTTGACCTCAATACTGCCGTGTTGTGGGTTGAGGGAAATCCTGGTCCCCCTACTTCTCTGCCATCATAACTCTTCCTCCTTAATTTTTAAAACAACGACAGTATACCTATGAAATACAAAACCTAACCTTTGTCAATGCCCTCCAGCTAAAGACTACCAGGAACATACATCTAATTGGACAGATTGGGTTTATTACTCATTGCAGCAATAAATAAAACAACCAATGGGAAATTGATGGGCATCTCAGTAAGAAGATATTAGAAAGAACTAACAGGATTTAGGTTTATGTTAGGTGATTTTGAGGAGAATTTACGGCAGCCGTGCTTTGTTTTAGATTGGATGGGGTCAGTAAGCAGGGGTATTTCTATGAATGGATACCTTAAATTTTATCTAGTATGAGGAAAGACTATACTGAGGCTAATGATGCAACTGATATTAAAAAGAGAGAGAAGAAGAAAAGAAAGAGAGGGAAAAGCAAAAGCTGTGGTCACTCACTCAGCCAGGACGTGACTTTTCTTGTGGTGTGGACGATGTTCATGTTTTTTATTCAGACATCGTTGTGGGTGGGCTCGATCTTGCCTTGATCCATCATGGTCACAGACTGACTCTGTCTAATTTTGATATTCTGTGAAATTTTGAAACAGACCCAAAGAACACCAAGGTCAAGCTGGGAATTCTTGAGCAGCCCAAGGAAACACAAAGACCTAGCTGATAGCACTAGGGCCTGCCTTTCACATTCGATTAGAAGGCACAAAATACATGAAGAATAAAATACACCTGACAAAAGTCACTACCAACCCAGTTTTTAAATTAATGAACTAAGACTTGAAAGTAGCTTCCTTAATCTGTAAAAGGGTGCCTGTGTCCATTTCCTTTTGCTACTGTAACAAATTACCACAAATCTAGTGGTATGAACAACAGAAATTTATTACCTTACAGTCGGAAGTCTGCTATGGGTCTCACTGGGTTACATTCAAGATGTCAGCAGATCTGTTCCTTCTGGATGCTCTAGGGGAGACTTTCTTTCCTTGCCTTTTTCAGCTTTTTGAGGCCACCCACGTTCCTTGCTCCTGGCCCCTTCCTCCATTTTCAAATCCAGCAACAGAGCCTAGGAGTCTTTCTTATGCTGCCTTCTTTCTTGTTGTCTCCTCTGCCTCCCTCTTCTTCTGACAAGGATCCTGTGATTTTAGTGAGCCTATCCAGATAATCCAGGATCATTTCCTCATCTCAAGGTCATCTGACTATCAAACTTAATTTCCCTTCCCATGTAACCTAACATATTCACAGGTTCCAGGAATTAGGATGCAGACATCTTGGAGGAAGGAGGGGAGGAGGGCAGGATTGGACATTATTCTGCCTACCACAGCACCTTAAAAAGCCCACAGCAGATTTAAAAAAAAAAAAAAAAAATTTTAAATCAGGACAAAGAATGTCTATAATCACTGCTTTAGTTCAACATTGGAATAAAGGTTTTCAATTTGTCACTGCAATATTTCTCGGACTACACCACATTGCCATGGCTAGTTTCTAAAATGCAAGCAATGGTCCTAATAACAATCTACTCACAGTTGCACACAACCTGAGAACACACATTTTCAGTAAGATCTAAGTCAGGGCTAGCAAATGCATAGCACCACACCTCCCACTTGACTCCTCAGCCGCTGGGGGATGTTATTCACACAGCCCTGTACTCTCTGCCATGGATCAGGGACAAAGACACAGAGTCCTCTGCAATATATCATTTGCAGCAACCACAACCTGTGGATAAGGGCTGGAACATGAAATGAAATCTATTTGCCCATCCTGATCTAGACTAGTAAACCCTGATATATAAAGGATGAGAAGAGTCAGCTGCTTTTGTTCTAAACCTCACACAGCAAAGTGGGAGTGGGAAGTTTTACAACCAGATTTAACTTCCTAAAGATGTCACAGATCTTTAAATTGGTATTTAATAAACCTCTAAGGGCAGTGGAATAATATTCCCTAGATTTATTTTATTCTTTATGCAAAAAGAGCAACCCCAAATTGCAGCATAGCCTGCTTAAGCTAGCAGCTTTTCTATATATATAAATATTTATATATATATTAAACCTTTTTCCTTAATGTCTAAGGATTAGACACCAGGGTAAAGGTATTACAAGACTAGTTTATTTTTATTTTTATTTTTCTTAATTTGTTAATTTATTCTTGAGAGACAGAGCACAAATGGGGGAGGGGCAGAGAGAGAGGGAGACACAGAATCTGAATCAGGCTCCAGGCTCTGAGCTGTCAGCACAGAGCCTGACGTGGGGCTTGAACCCTGTGAGATCATGACCTGAGCTGCAGTCAGACACCCAACCAACTGAGCTACTCAGGCTCACCACAAGACTAGTTTATTAAGGTAACTAGCTAATATAAGATGCTAATAGCTCAATTATGAATACTTGATCTTATTCATAAGGAAAACAAATTGAAAAATTCAGGCAAGGGCACCTACATGGCTCAGTGGGTTGAGCGTCCAACTCTTGGTATCGCCTCAGGTCATGATCTCACAGTTTCCTGAGTCTGAACTGCGAGTTGAGCTCCATGCTGACAGTTCAGAACCTGCTAGGAATTCTCTATCTCCCGCCCCTCTCTCTGCCCCTCTCCCTCTCACACTATCTCTGTCTCTCTCAACATAAAAAAAATAATAAAATAGAGATAATAACAGTATACTTCCTAGAATCTAGTTCCCCTCAAATCTGTGTACTTTCTTTCTGAGAAGCCTGAAACTCACTAATGAATTTATGAAAATAGAGACTGTTTTATTACCCAACTCTGTGGTATAGTTCTTTTCTTTTCTTTTCTTTTCTTTTCTTTTCTTTTCTTTTCTTTT